GATCTGGGCGAGGGTGATGGCCTCGCGCAGGTACAACAGCGACGTTGGTGCCGCCGGGCTGCTGGTTCTCGTGGAAGATGTGGAGGAAGAAGGAGGTCCGCAGCTTGTTGAGGTTGGCGGGCTGCGAGTCGAGCAGGACGCGGCTCCGCTGGCACTCTGCTTCGAGGACATGGGCGGTCACAGCGTCGTTGATGCCGCAGTCGCGGGAACGGTCAAGCTTGAGCTGGGCCATGGTGGCTGCGCCAATGGCCGTGGCGAGGGCGTACATCTCTTGGTCCTCGGCATCGCGCTGTAGCGAGGCGATGACCTCCTCGACGGCGACAATGGGCCATACCGGGAAAAGGCGCAGGCGGTAGATGCAGAGCCGCAGGACGAGCCATTCGACGGCAATGACGGGGGTCGTCGAGTTGTTCATCGAAGGTTCCCGGCCGGTGGACGAGTGCGGGCTCCCATCGGCGCTCACGTTGCGCGTCGCCGCAGCATTTTCGGGAGGTTTCTCCTGGTGGTGGTGCTGCTGCTGCTGCGCATCTCGAATCTGCTGCCACGTCTTGGCTCGGAGGCTCCTCGGGCCCCTCGTGGCCTGTCCCTTGTTGAAGGTGCACTCAATGCCGATGGTGCTGCAGCGACGACAGGGCGGAATCTCGGTGCACTTCACCTTTCGGATCTTGCAGGCATCGCAGGCCCGTGAGCCAATCTTGCGCGGTTTGGGTGGCGCGGCCGGCATGTTTGTCATGGAGGACGCATGGTCAATGGTGATGGTGATGGTGATGGTGGTGGTGGTATTGGAGGTGGAGGGAGAGAGGGGGGGATCGTTCGAGAGTAGAGGGCATCGACGATGGGTGGAGATGGATGTGGTGTGCCTCGGTGTGCCGCTAGCGGGGCTCGTCCCATTCTGGAGGGGTGGTCCACGCGGGCCGCATGGTTCAAGGGGGGATGTGTGCAGAAAAATTGCAAGGGGGCGGGGGGGGTTCTAGCGGGGACATCCAGGGTCCAGGTCGAATTTTGACTTTCCGAGCCCCTTTGACAGCTGAAGAGCGCTGATGAACTGCTGGAGAGTATCCTGGAGAGAAGACAGCTACGGGGGGTGCCGCGATGGCGTTATGTGGGTCCGGGGTCCGGATTTCGGACAAGACGACATTAAATTGTACGCTGAGCTTCTTGCATCTGCACCATCACGGACAATCATCAACAGATGGCATGTGAGAAGGGGGCTCATGCGCCCCAATTATTATGGCAGGCTAATTATGGCATCGAAAACAGGCAGGTTGCACACCACCAGCACAATACAGGTCAAGGCAGGGCAGGGCAAGCCTAGTAGGTGTAGCGGAAGTCGAGACGCTTGTTGCCGTCTACCTCGCGGGCCTGAACATCGTTTTGGTAGATGTGACGGTCCTCGTCGGACATGGCGGCCCACTTCTTCTCCTTCTTGCCGTTGAGGTAGACGATGACCTGGCGCTGGACAACGAAGACGACGAGGGCAAAGGCGCAGATGGAGACGAGCACCGTGTTGCCCTGCTTGAAGTACGGGCCGTCGTAGGAGCGGTAGATCTGGCTGCCAATGAGACTGCCCATCTGGACAATGACGTTGTAGGTGGCGGCAGCGATGGCTCGCTTTTTCACGTCAAAGGTATTTTCCGAGATCCACGAAGTGACAATCGGGTGGAAGTAGGGGTACCCGGAGATGAGAGTGACGAGGGTGAAGCGCGCCCACTCCTGGCCGCCGTCCGAGATGGTCAGCAGGGCAATAAGCAGCGGCATGACCCAGAACTCGCCGACGAAGCAGTGGAAGGTGCGCTCGTTGAAGTGGTTGCTGCTGTAGGCGAGGACCAACATGGTGATGATCTGGAGGACGGCCGAGGGAATGGTGAGCATGTTCGAGTCGAACCGCGAGAAACCGATACGGCGTAGCGTAAGCGTGAGGTAGGCCTGGACGGGGGTCGCGGGGATGTAGGCAACGAGACCGATGAGGAACAGCCCCCACATGGACGGATCCGACCAAGTGTTCTTGACGTCCTGCCAGGTGGCGGGCTGGTGCAGAGTCGTGAGGCCCTTGGCGGGATCATCGCGGAGGATGCGGTTCGTCATGATAATCTCCTGGCGCTCTGTGTACCAGCCCTTGGGGAACAGGACGTTCTTGGTGCTAGTGGGCGAGGCCGGCAGGTACAGGTAGGACTAGAAAGGGGGTCCAAGGTCAGCTTGGCTCTGTGGAAGGGAAAGGAGGGGGGCTTGCGCGCGCGCAGGACAACTCACAATGATGGCGAGAACAACGGTCAGAAGACCCTCGAGCAGGAACAGCCAGAACCAACCGGGGTAGCCGCCGATGCCGCGCATCTCGAGAATGCCGGCGGCGAGCAGGGCCGAAATGACACGAGCAATGTTGAGGGTGGACCAGAAGGCGGCGAGACGGATGGACAGCTCCTTGGAGGTGTAGAAGTAGGTGGCGAAGAGGATGGCACCGGGGATGAAACCGCCCTCGCAGAAACCAATGAGGGCGCGGGTGATGTAGAAGCCGGTGCGGTTGTGCATCCAGGCCTGCGCCCACGAGACGGTGCCCCAGGCGAACATCATGGTGGGCAGCACGTAGCGGAAACCGTAGCGCTTGGTCAACAGCTGGACGGGGAACTCGGCGGCGAGGAAGGCGACGAGCTGAATGGTGGTACCGTTGTTGTAGTCGTCGCTCGTGAGGTTCATGTCGGTGAGGAAGTCATCGGCCAGCGCGTTCGACAGGTTGCCGCGATCGAGCTGGAGACCGAAGAACATGACGCAGAGCCATGTCAGCAGGCAGAGGTCCGTCTTGCGAATGACGCTCTTCTCCTCGGCCTCGGTCCATGTCGCAGTGGGATCCCATCGGTGGCGGCCCTCGTACTTGTGGTCGGGGGGGATGGCATCGCTGAGCTCGCTGCGGCCGACTTGCACGTCGGTGAGGCCCTTGAGAGACGACGATTCGCCGGGTCCCGCACGGGGCGTGTCGTGCGTCTCAATGTCTTCGGTGCCCATGGCGGCGAGAGTGAGAGGGCAGGCAGGTACGTGTGGTGCAGGGCAGGAGCAACTCGCTTGAGACTGAAAAAAATCGAATTCGCCTGTGGTGCACGTGTTTTTGTCTCGACCTTATTTGAACAACAACAGGGTGAGGAGCGGCGACCTTGAGGAAGACGAGACGAAAAGGCGAGAGAGATCTGCAGGACAGCGACAGCTTCCTATAAGTGCGACAGCTCTCATGCAACCTCAACACCATGAAGCCATCGCCATTGGCATCGCACGGAGAAAGATACGGAGAAATGGGCTGGACGAAATCCCAAGGCCGGAGCACGCCATTGACACAAAAGCGCGACGTCCCGGCACTCGACTCACACGCTGAACGCCCTTCTATGCATCTGCCTCGGTGGAGCAGACCCTGACTGCTACGTGGGCAGTGGACGACTGCGATCGGCAGCTGTCGACCCCAGCCAGGCAGACCCCAGAGCCCGCGTGGAAGATGCCGCCACGACGAGGCCCTTCCCCCAGCTCCCAAGCTTGGCCCTAAGGCGACAAGGGCGACCCAAGACCTCCCTCGGCCTCGCGCGGAGAGTCGCGGCGGCACCGGTCGGGGGCTTCGTCCAGGACGGGGTTGGCGCGGCCGACGGGCTCATTTTGGGTCAGATGACGCCATCGCGAATCCCCGATATTTTCTCCGCCACGAGTCGACGACTGCCTCCAGCTTCGGTTTCTCCGCGCCAACAGGCGAAGGCGTGATCGGATATGTAGTGCTCGTCTGCACAATGCTGGCCTGGAGGATGCTCAAGCACGAATGTGAAGCCGCATCCTAATCACAAACCCCTGAACAAGAGATTGTCTCACCACCACGGCAAATCAGAAGAACCTCGGTCAGAAATCTCGGTCAAGCCATTCATCGCCTCGGACGTGCTTCCCGTTGTCATCATGCCCTCCGCCACGCAAGACAACGCCAGCGCCAACGGCAACATAATCGGCGGGAACGAGCTGGCCAAACCGCGTCTCACGGCGCCGTTGACCTATTCAGGCTCTCTCGATGGCTTCGCATCCAATGACTTGACACCTGTCATCGGTCGCGAGTTTGAGGGCCTTCAGGTGGCCGAGCTCCTCAAGGGAGACGACCAGCTCATTCGGGATTTGGCTGTGACTAGTGAGATGCGATCTTGCCTTGCGGACACGCACATTTCACTGACGAAACAGTCTCACAAAGGGGTGTTGTCTTCCTGCGCAACCAAGATGTGACGCCTACCCAGATGAAGGACTTTATGCTGCGCTTGACGGAGCTCTCGGGATGCGTGAGTCGTCGTCGCTTGCTTTTGCGAGAAATGCAACGCATTGCTGACAACTCACAGCCCTCATCGTCCTCCCTTCACGTTCACCCTCTAACCGAAGAAGGTAGCGAGCTCGGTGACCAGATCAGCGTCATCAGCTCCGAGAAGCAGAAGAAGGGCGGCGGCCTGACCCACCAGCTCTCCGACGTCAGCCGGTTCGCGAGCAACGGCTGGCACAGCGACATCACCTTTGAGCCGGTCCCCTCGGACTATGCCATGCTCAAGATCCACACGCTGCCGGCCACGGGCGGCGACACCATGTGGGCGAGCGGCTACGAGATTTACGATCGGCTGTCGCCCGCCATGCAGGTCTTCCTCGAGGGCCTGACGGCGACGCACGATGCAAAGTTCTTCCTCGACGAGGCCGAGCGTCTGGGAAACCCCATTCGTCAGGGCATCCGCGGCTCGCCCCTGAACCAAGGCGCGGGCCTCATGGCGGTGCACCCTGTCATCCGCACGAACCGTGAGTAGCAACCCCTTCCCATCGCAATCTCAATCTCCGCAAGGCAATGCTGACCTCGAAAAAGCCGTCACTGGGTGGAAGTCGGTCTACGTGAACAAGGGCTTCACAAAGCGCATCAACGGCGTGACCAAGGACGAGTCGGATGTTCTGCTGGCGTACATCTTCAACCTCTTGACGCAAAACCACGACGCCCAGGTGCGCTTCAAGTGGCGCAAGAACGACCTTGCTATCTGGGACAACAGGAGCACCTGGCACTGCGCAACGTACGACTACGACGAGGCCCGAGCCGGCGACCGCGTGTGCTCGCTGGGCGAGGCCCCGTACCTGGATGCCTCGAGCAAGGGGCGGAGGGAGGCATTGGGTCTCTGATTGAGGCGTGAGGCGTGAGGCGCGAGGCCTAAGATAATAATGAATGAATGCCCCCTTTTGTTTGCTCACTCCCGCTTTGACCGCGAGTCATGGCCTCGCATACCGTTGCATTGGCTGCCGGTTGTGATGCTTTGTGTGGGGAAACCCTGCTCAAGTCCCGACATCGAGGGGGATTAGCCTGAATTCAGCTCAAGCCTTCATCTATCCGCCCCTCGCGTGGCTTCAGGCAGTCCGCGCACCCCCAACTATCGGGCAATTCAGCCGGCGTGAGGCTCTCCCGTCGACACTGCTCGCAGATGATCCAGCCAGGGGACGCGGCTAATGACAGACGTCCGCCACGTTTCGCGGTACCAGGCTTTCACGATGTTGTTTGCCGTGTGACCCGAGCACGGTCCAGCGGAATGCAACCGACACGGAGGTCGTCGGACCTGGCTCCTTTTGTAGCGGGATCAAGCAATCTCCCGAAGATGTTGAGAAGGGGTCCGACGGGGGCTTTTCGCAGTGTCTAAAGCATATAAAAGGGTCGTCGCCGAGCCCTGGGAGAAAGGAGACATGACGCCTCAGCCCATTCACACCATCACAATGCAGACGTCCGCTCTCCTCCTCGCCGCCCAGGCCCTAGTCGCTTCGGCGGGTCTCATTGAGCGCCAGAGCTGCCCTAGTATCCACGTTTTCGGCGCCCGTGAAACCACTGTCGGGCCCGGCTATGGCTCGGCCGGCACCGTCGTCAACCTCATCCTGAACGCGTACCCCGGCTCAACTGCCGAGGCCATCGTGTACCCAGCGTGCGGCGGCCAGAGCTCCTGCGGTGGCATCAGCTACGGCAACTCAGCCATGCAGGGCACCAACGCTGTCGCCTCGGCTGTCAACAGCTTCAACCAGAGGTGCCCGAACACGCAGATTGTTCTCGTCGGGTACTCCCAGGGCGGCCAGATCATGGACAATGCTCTGTGCGGCGGCGGTGACCCGGGCTCCGGCATCACCAACACGGCCGTGCCCCTGACTGCGAGCGCCGTCACTGCCGTCAAGGCTGCCATCCTCATGGGCAGCCCGCGGTACCGGGCCGGGTTCCCGTATAACGTCGGCACCTGCACGGCGCAAGGGGTGAGTTGATCTGCAATCGTTGTTCAGCAGGCATCGCGGAACATTAGCTAACCATGTCAGTTCGCCGCGCGTCCTGCCGGCTTTGTTTGTCCTTCGGGCAGCAAGATCCAGAACTACTGCGACTCGCCCGACCCGTACTGCTGCACCGGCAACAACCAGGCCGTTCACCAGGGATACGGCGGCGTCTACGGCCAGGCGGCACTGACATTTGTGCGAAGCAAGTTGAACTCCGGGGGGAGCCCACCCACGACGCCCCCGACCACACCCCCGACCACGCCTCCTACGACGCCTCCTACGACGCCCCCGCCCTCGGGCAGCTGCGCAGCGCTTTACGGGCAGTGCGGCGGTCAGGGCTGGAACGGCGCAACGTGCTGCTCGCAGGGTACGTGCAGGGCCTCGAACCAGTGGTACTCACAGTGTCTGTAAAGAGGCAACTTTCGCGCCACGACTGGTCTTGGGGGCTGGCAACGAACAAGCATGGCATCCAGGATTTAGCATTATGCCTGCACTAGCTATCAAACAACTCACAATGACACTACTGCTTCTGGTCATAGGCCACGGACTCGGTGGGCGTCGCGGGGCCCTCGCTTTCGCTCGTCTCGGGCTTCTTGCTGCGCCCCCGTAGTGTTTGAATGACATCCAAAATTTGCTTGCGCCCGTCGATGATTGGGAAAAAGCCGGCGACAAACATTGTGATCCACACCCAGATAATGGCGAGGACAAGCCAGGCCACAAAGAAGCTCTCGCTAAAGACATACTTGGCCGCGTACATTGGCAGAGGCCACAGGACCCAGTGTCCGAGGAACGTGGCGAGAGACCAGTAGGCGCTGAGGCGGCCCCAGCGTTTGAGCTGGGCCTTGTTTGTCTGGTAGTCCGACTCCTCGACGTTCTGGGTCGTACCGTCGAGAGTGAGCTTCTCGTTGCGGAAGTCGGCCCAGTTGAAATTGGCAGGCTTCACGAGAGAAATGACAACAGAGTAGAGCGCCGGGCTTAACGCAGATGCCGTCGTGCCCCAGGTGCAGGGGGCGGCTTGGCCGGTGGATGCGACGCTGATCTCGCCAAAGAGCGCTTGGGCGGTGCCGAGCCAGACGGCGAGACCGGTGAAGAGACCGAGGATGGGCGAGACGACGGCAGCCACGGTAGACTGCTTCTTCCAGAGAATAGCAAAGGTCGTCGGGAAGATGCCGGGGCATGTCAAGACGCCCAGCATGTACAGCGTCCAGCCGAGATCGACCTTGCCGTAGTGAAGGATGGTTGAAAAGCAAGCAGAAAAGAGGCCAAAAAAAACGACACCAATGTGACTCCATCGAATGACATCACGGTCGGTAGCGGCCTTGTTGATGTACTGGCGGTAAATATCAAAGCTAATGATGGACGAGACAGCAATGACCTGGGCCGACAGCGTCGATGTGACGGCCATGAAGGTGATGAGCAGGATCGCCGTGGCGCCACCCTTGCCGGCAATGGCAATGGCGGCATACGGGAGCACAAGGCCGTTGGAGATTTCCGTGCCGGACATGCGTCGAGGGTACGTCGGGAAGATCTCCTCGCCTTCGAGACCCAGGGCGACAAAGCTCATCAGCGTTCCCAGGCACCAGGGGATGCCAAAGTAGGCAATACCCCCAATGACGTACCCAGGTACGACGGCCTGGGGACGAGCGGCAAAGGCCTTGACAAAGAAGCCCGTGTCCATGACGACGAGCCCAAAGTTGGCGAGAACGTGGATGATGCCGAATAGCATGGCCTGTGGATGTCAGCGGTGAAGAGATAGTTCATGAGGGCAGCACACGTACGCCGTGGCTCGTCATGGTCAGGTAGGAGCCGTTGTGGTTACCGCTGACGGGGTGTGCCTCGCCAGCGGCCACAATCAGCTCATACAGATGGGCGGGTGACGAAATCTCGGGCGTCAAAAAGGCCTTGATCGTGAAGAAGCAAATGATGATGGTGATGATGAACGTATGGACATAGTCGGTGAGGAACGTGGCCTTGATGCCGCCAACAAAGGTGTACAAGATGACACCGATGGGGAGGAGGAACGTTGCGGCAATGACGTGCATGCCAGAGCTACATAGTCAGCTCATGTCAGCATAGGGGGGGGTGAATGACAAAGACGTACAGTGCTGAGATGGCTGCGCTGGCGCCGAGCAGCATGTTGGCGACGGCGATAATGTTGTTGATGAGGCACAGTACGATCCACACAATGTGGCCGACCTTGCCGTAGCGGATGCGGATAATCTCGAGCAGGGTGTGCGCCTGGGGGACACGCATTTTGCAGGCGATACCCAGGAGAGAGAAGAAGACAATCATGGGGGAACAGCCTGCGGCGAACCAAAAGGGACCGGCGACGCCAAAGTTGTAGCCGACGAGGGTGCTTCCCAGCATGGCCGTGCTCCAGAGCCACGACGAGACGACGGCCGAACTCGTGAGACCAGTGCTGACAGTCCTGTTGGCTGTGATGAACATCTCCGTCTTCTTGTTGTCTTCACCGACCGTACGCTTGAGGATGTGGGTAATGCCAATCATGACGGCAGCAAAGATGAAGCCGATGACGACGACAACGATGCTAGGAAAGGTCAGTCGAGTTCGAGCACGATATCCGAGAGACACTCACTATGCAGCGAACTGCGGGAGAGGCGGTGCCACGACGCTGTCGGAAGCATCGCCCGATGCTGCACCTCCAGCCATGTTGTTCTCTTGTCAGTGTGTGATCTACCTAAGCAGGATGGTTCGGACAACAGCGAGTAGCGATACCGAAAGAAGCGAGACGTGGAGAGCGAAACCAGAACGCCGGGACTGCGTCTTGATATCGACCTGCGATCGAGCCCGAGACAACGCACGTGGCAGGCATCCGAACGCGCGGGTCGACATCCCACGCTCAAGATGAGGGCACGCCACTAAATATGCCGTGATTGCATCGGTACCCAACGAGGAGGCGATCCTGCGAGACTCGGGTTCACCAACGTATGGCCCAGATAAGATTGTTCGAATGTCTGTAGGAAAATGGCCCCATTGATCTTCAAACCAGCACGACCGACATCGCTCGGCAGTTGTGCGACATACATTGCGTGTAAGACGATTGGACGGCATGTGCCATCGGAACTTGTTCGCCGGGCATCTCATTGCGCGGGTATATCGCGCCATCGCGATGCGACATGGGTCATCGAGGGGTAGTCGGCGGGGGTCAATTGAGGACGAACATCTCGGCGCACGCTATTGAAACGCTATTCAGCCGTTCAGTCGTTGTGTATTAAAGAGCAAGGGGATTCACGTCGAGAACGGGGATCGCGTCGAGCACACCATTCACTCAGAGAGAAGACACTCGCCGCAATCACCAGCATCATGGCTTCCCCCAAGAAGCAGCTCATCCTGAATGCCTTTGTCGAGTCATGCAGCGGCCATCAGTCGCCGGGGCTCTGGCGGCACCCGGATGACCACTCGTCCGAGTTCAACAACATCAAGCACTGGGTGAAGTTGGCTCAGTTGCTGGAGAAGGGCGGCTTCCACGGCATGTTCATTGCTGATGTGCTGGTGAGTGATGATGTCTGCTCATGGTCGAATGCATCCTGACAGTCTAGGGCGCGTACGATGTGTACAAGGGGCCCAAGAACCCCGATCCTGCCATTGTTTCTGGAGCGCAGTGGCCGGTCAATGAGCCTTTGATGACAGTGTCAGCCATGGCTGCGGCGACGGAGAGTCTGGGTTTCGGCGTTACGGTCGCAACGACCTACGAACAGCCGTACCACCTCGCGCGTCGTCTCAGCACTCTCGACCACTTGACGGGAGGGCGTGTCGGCTGGAACATTGTCACGGGCTACCTCGATTCGGCGGCCCGTAACCTTGGCCATACGCAACAGCCGGAGCACGACGAGCGATACGTCATGGCTGAGGAGTATGTCGAAGTCATGTACAAGCTTTGGTGAGCCTCGACTTTTCATGCCCTGCATCTCAATGTAGCTGACAACCCAGGCAATCCTCGTGGCGAGATGACGCCGTCAAGCTGAACCGCGAGACGGGCATCTATACGGACCCCAAGCTCGTCCGGACGATTGATCACGTCGGCAAGTTTTACCAGGTGCCGGGCCCCCATATCTGTGAGCCGTCGCCTCAGAGAACACCGGTCATTCTTCAGGCAGGCACTTCGCGGGCTGGCAAGGCATTTGCGGCGAAGAACGCCGAGGCCATCTTCGTCGCTGGCCATTCGCCATCTGTCATTGCCAAGAACATTGCCGAGATCCGTGCGGCGGCGCGCGATGAGTACGGGCGTGACCCTGCCTCCATCAAGTTCCTGGCTCTGCTGTGCCCGGTCATTGCGAGCACGCAGGAGAAGGCGCAGGCGAGGTACGAGGAATTCCTCAGCTATGGCTCCGAGGACGGTGCTCTGGCCCTCTTTGGTGGCTGGACGGGCATCGACCTGGCCAAGTACGGCGACGACGAAGAGCTGCGGCACGTAGAGTCGAACGCCATACGGTCGGCAGTCGAAGCCTGGAGCAAGTCAGCGCCAGGCGTGGCCAAGTGGACAAAGCACACGGTGGGCAACCACATCAAGGTCGGTGGTCTCGGCGCGACGGTTGTGGGCACGCCGGAGTTTGTTGCAGACGAGATGGAGAGGTGGGTGGCTGAAGCCGATGTTGACGGGTTCAATCTCGCATACGCGCTGATGCCTGGTTCCTTTGAGGACATCATCTCTGACCTATTCCCCGTTTTGAGGAAGCGCGGGCTGCTGTGGGAGGGATACGCCGTTCCCGGCGGCACGTACCGAGAGAACCTGCGTGGCGAGAAGGGTGCGGCACGCCACCGCCTGACATCCTGCGGGCCAAGTTCCACTGGAAGGCTGAATGAGAATGATGTTTGCCGCTGTGCAAGATATGTTACGTTTGTCTAGTGACTCGACTTGACTTGAAAGCAATTCCGCGATTACCGAATCGGTTCACTTGTGTTAAAAGGTGCTCATACGGGCAAGAATGTATTCAGGGTATCAAAATATGGATTAGACATTAGATCGGCTCGACAGCTGGCTCACGCTTGCTGTTGGTGAGGGTTTCCCGGACCGTAAAACGATCCATCGGCAGGCGACATGACTGGATGTGCTGGCGCGCCGCCTGTGACTGGGACCTTGTAATCTCGCGCGGGAGGATATTGAGGGGCGCCGGGATAGACACCAGGCATAGGCATAGCTTGCGGATACTGCTGCATCAGCGAGGCCTGTGCCTGCGGCATGACATAAAAGGGGCCGCCGTTTCCAGTCATGACGAAAATTTGCCGCTGCTGACGATTGCGCTGATTGGTCTCGACGCAGGCGCGGACGAACAAGGTAAAGGTGACGAGGCTGGGACATGTCAGCAATGGTAGCTCGTCAACAAGAGCCAAACAAGACTCACAACGCAGCCGCGCTGGTACCGATGATGCCATAGTTGAGGCCCATGCCATAGTCAAAGTCCGAGCTGTCTCGGTAGTCACCTCGGTAGAAGGAGAACATGCCCATACAGACAATGCCTAGAGCCCAGTACAGCCACGTGACAAGGTGTACGCCGACGTGAGCTCCTGGGTGGATGCCCTGCTTGCCGCCTCGCGCACAGAGAGTAATGAACTCTGCCGTCTCCCACACGACACACATGCAAGCCTGGGCAGTCAGTACAAGGACACGTTCAGCGAGTATGCTGGTCAAGTACGCACCGGTGGCAGGCTCAGAACCAACGGCAGATGGCTAGCGTAGAGTGCGACGGAGATGAGAGCAATCGTTAGGGCAATGACGATGATGGCACATGCGAGCTCGAACGATCGCAGTACAATCTTGGCAATGTGCCACGATCTTGTGAACGGAATGATGCGAGGTTTGCGCGGCCCTGGTCCGTAGAGCGGTGGTTGCGGCGGATAAAGATATGGTTGTGGCACGAATGATTGCACGTTGCTGATCAGCGGCGGCTGGGTTTGGCGGGCAGCCGTCGGCTGGGCATCGGGGGTGGGCGTTGTTGGTCTCTTTGAAGAAGGGTGCGCCGTTGCGCTCGACTCTGCCGCGTTGGACTGCATGTCTGCAAACTCGCCGAGGCGATTGTATGTCGTGAATCAGTTTGGTGGTGTCAATGAGCGAGACAGAGTGAAAGCAGAGAAGGAACAGAAGGAACGGAAGCGACAGACTCGGCGCAACGACCGTACAGGCGACGCGACGAGACGGAAATCATCACGGAGGGGGACCCTTCGCTTTTACAGCTAACAAATAGGCAACCGTCTTCCTCCAGACACTCAGCGCGCTGTGCCGTCGATAGCGCCAGTCTAGCCCGCTTGGGACCAGCCCCTGGCTCCAATGCTCAGAGCCCCCTGGGCGTTGCCAAGCGCTTGTCAACGGCTCCCTGGATCCACGCAGGGTTATTGGACGACGAGTGGTGCCGCTCCACGGTTAAGGCTACGGGCGCCGAGCAATCTCGTTTCTGGTCCACTGCACTGCATCTGGGCTGCGCAGGTGTGCTCAGGCTCCTGGGTGTGAGTCCAGTCAGTACTTGACTGTCAGGTGGCTGACGGCTGCATCATTCGCAATCCCTCTCCTCGACATCCACAATCGATTGTAAAGCGTGTCAAATGTTTGGCAAGGTGAAGCTCCAGGGCAGCCGATGGTATCAGTTCCGCATCCGCCGTCGGTCCGCTATTCTCTCTGCAGCACGACAACAAGTCCCATGATTCCCAGCATAACCGTCTTCAGCCAAGGGTGTTCCGAGAGGAGGATCGTCACGTATCCGACAAAGGGAATGTAGGCAACCACTGCGACGTGTTAGTAGGGACTGGCAAGGTGTGCTTCTGGTAACTTGCCGCTGCCGATGATGTCCTGTCTCTCCAAGTAGTCCTGTCCGCGCGCGTAGAGCTCCGTGTCGTCGGCTGCATTGTTGTCGCCCTTGGTAAGCAGCTTGGCCGAGGCGCTGCATTTGTCAGTACGGGCATCAACAAAGTCCCAGAAGGTACGCACCCCGCTCCAAACTTCCGCACGACGCGGTGGACAATCGGAATGTCCTTGTCCTTGACATTGTATACGACAACTTCGCCAACATCGGTCTCGCGGAGAAGGTTTCGGTTCCAAAGGAAGAGGAGGTCGCCACGCTGGAAGGCGGGCTCCATGGAGCCGGAAAGAACGACGACGATGGGCGAGGGAGAGTCGGTAATCACGGAAAGACCTTTCCACATCTGCAGGTCAAGTTCAGCAAGGTCAGCGGCCAGGGCGGCGAGCAACGAACCATAAAGGCCGTCGACAGGATGAGGCCAAAGTTGAGGAGCTGGGCAGCCGCCTGCCGCGGGTTCTTGAGGCTGGAGAGCATGGTGACTGTCGAAGCACGTCTTTTCGGGCTATTGACGTCGGATTTGCGAGCTGGACGGCGTCACGGGGTTCGTTGTTCGCGGATTGGGATGGACAGCTTGGAGGCAGCTCGCGATAAAGCTTGAAGCTGAGGTAGTTCAGGCCAGCGAGGCTCGTGCACGGACCAGGTGAGCCACCCCACTGGTGCCTTCCATGCCAAACCGCAACCTGGAGATGGTCAAATACGTCCCTAGAGCTGTGAGTGGCGTCTTGAATATTGTGTTGGTTCTGCAAAAGCCACCTGAATGGAAGGTGTTGTAAGACATCACTAGGCAGGTACCGCTACATTCGTGGCATCGGTGGAGGAAAGCGCAGCACGTGCCACGCTTGCCAAATCAATCAGTAGAAAGGCAGCAGTCATCACCAGTCAAGAGGGACGAAAGCCATTTCAAGCTCAACCGTAGAATGCACGAGTCAACACCCTCTCCATCACCAGTACATGTCCAACGTTTGTTCGTGACCAGCATCTCTTTCAACATCCGCTATCGACGCATCGCCCGCAATGGACGAATCGTCAATCACCACGCCCCTGCTCGCGCCTCCCAGCGGATTACCCGCACCAGCTGCATCTGGCCGAACCCAGGATCACGTACGTTCGAGCGAACACTTCGCTACTTCGCTAACCATCGCAGCCCGCATTCCTTCGAGTGTGCCATTCGCCGTGGCGATAGCTTCCCCAGAATGCACTCTTCTACATCCGTGGCTTCCTCCTCGCCTACCTTATTGCCGCCAGCATCATGATCCTCGATTACAAGGTGGAGCAGGAAGAGTCCAAGTTTTCGGACTGGCGCATCATCTTTGAGCTCGAAATCATCAGCTTCGGCCTTCTCCTGGCTTACCACGCAATCGTCTCTGTATGCCACCCGGTCACGCCCTTGAGTGCAAGCTAACCAGACAGTCCTGGACCTTTACCCACCTCTACTTCCCGCACATTGAGGATCGCCGATCCGGCTAGGAGTATTGGGTCCTGCGGTTCCTGTCGCTTCCAGCCAACATGAACAGCCTCCGGAAGCAGTTCTACTTTACGCTCTTCTACTTTTTGACGTCCATCTTCGCCATCATCAACACGATGATGTACTTTCTGGTCACGCTGCCTCACGCAGGCTCTGGGGACGACAGCTCACCTGCTGAGCCAGAACCTTCGGGTCTGGGCATGTCAAAATCGCCCACAGAGCTTCGAGACTTTGGCGTCGGTCAGTCACCTCTTCTGCCTTACGGCACTGCCGGAAGGACGCCATTCACGGACATGTTTGGTGAGGGTTGGTTTCAGGCTTTTACAACACTGAACCTCTTCGTCATCTCCACTTTGATTGTCCTCGTCGAAATTCTGTTCCTCAACAGCGTCAAGCGTCCGTATGCCATTGGTGCCCACATCTTCGGGCTTCTTTTCCTTTCCGGGCTCTACGTAGCTTGGGCTGCCGTTGGCAGGACCGTCACGGGAACTGGTCCTTTCTGGCTAGACGGTGATGAGGCAGGTTCGCGGGAGGCCGTTGTCGCAAACACGATTGGTTTCGTCGTGCTGTCGCCGATCAGTATGTTGTTGCCACTTCTGGAGGATGCCACTGACACTGGACAGTATTTTCCCTCGTCTACGGCTTTATCGCGATTCGAGAGACGATTGTCAAGTCGTTCCAGCTTTCTCGCATGCGAATTGCTTCCGCCGCCGCCCACGACGATTGATTTGGGGCATGCGAGCAAAATGCGTGTAAACGACAAAAAAAAGTGGTAGGATCTGGAGGAGCGTCCGTGGCTGTGCGGTCCACCTAGAACTATCAGTCTTCCGTATCCTAATAATACAACCATGCTTTCAACCCATATTTGGTCTTAGCTGGAGGTACGGATGTGTTCTTGCAGTAAAACCGTCACAAAGGAACAAATCCAGAGTTCACAGATACGCCTTTCAACAGTCTTATCGATCAGTCCAACTCGCTGTCTGTTGGTGATGGAAGTAAATGGTTTCTGACAACCCAATTCGAGGAGACTGCCTGAGAATCTGCTCACAAGCGTCAAAGTCTATTGCCGTTTCATTGTAGCTTCTATACCATAAGCCTCATGGAGGCAATCCAGGTGCATGTCTTACTAGATCGCAATTCGATCGAACATGCGTGGATATCGCCCAAGATTTTGTACTTTGCCTCTTCTCGTTAGGATCACAGGATGCCATAGCCGCCAGGTTGTACACTATCTTCGCCCAGGCGGCCGCCGTGTCTGAACCTACCAGGAAATATATGAACGGCATCCTCAAGCGCCTCTACACCCTCACAATGATGCCGCTCAGAGCATGAGTCACGACATTCATCTTTTCCTCGCTTCTATATTTCCCTCCAGCTTGTTGACGAAGTTGCGATATGTTATTCTAATTTCTTGCACCACATGACACCAACGTCGTTGGCATTCGATCAGTACGTCCGCGTTCTGGCCTCGGGGAAGTCGTCCGCCAGGCCGCCAGGCGGTGAAAAGGGGTAACAGTTGGGTAGCGGTGACATTGCTTTTCTTTGACAGCCCAGGCCCGACTGTAGTTCCGAATTGAAGCCCGAAGGGACTCGGCGCTACCGGCAGCTGTCTCGTGATCCTCATCGCCCCATGTTGACTGCGGATGGCCCCGAAACCCGTGCACAAAGACAATGGTTGGAGCCGGTAAGACCCTGTTGAAGCGTTCAGCAGAGCACCCATTGGCAACCGGGATTGCCCACCCAATGGGGTCCAGGCGAGTGAAACCAAGTCTTGAAACCTCGTCAGACATTTTGCTTGTTCAGCCTTTGCCTGAGAGTGTCCGACACAAGCGGGGTAATCGTGGTCAACCGCGATGAAGTCAAGTCTGGGTCAGGCTGCGGATGATCACGTGGACGTCGACGGGATTTCGGCAGCTGTCTGAAGTGTCGTGCTGCGCTGTCGTGCTGCGCTGTCGTGCTGTGCTGTGCTGTGCTGTGCTGTGCTGTGCTGTGCTGTGCAGTGCAGTGTACATGAAGTGCTGTGCTGGCACGTCCTTGCTGATCACTTGGCCTAGAACCCTCGTCGGGCCTTCAGCTCGACTGCTGCCTGAGTCGGGTGTCCTCGATGACCAAGCCGAGTCACGAGTGTCATTGGGCTTCCTGACCGCCGATGCCCAATCGACGAAAGCATGTTACGTTCGCTGACTGGATGGTCGAGGACGGGCTGTGCAGATTGTCACGGCGGTACAACCCAAGGCATTGGTGTTGTTGTTGACGCGGAGCACGCCCAGCCACCGAGGCGCCCTGTTAGTGCCTGTGCCTGCCCCTGGCCTGGCGTGGCCCCTCCCCCGCCCTCACAAGGCAGCACTAGATAAATAACACGGGCAGCCCCCGCCATCACGGACTTGTATTGGTTTCCCCCCTCCCCCCCTCTTCACCACAGCAAACTGGGTCGCAAAGTCACACCTGGGATATCTCCTAGTCCGCTCGTTTACACGTCCTTCTCTGAGATATTTTCCACCCGGGCCCTCCGTCAATCATTTGTTCGTGCGTTCTCTCTCTCTCCCCCTCCCTCTCCGAATCTCCTCTCGCCGCTCTTTTCGTTGCTCTCTACAAGTACCATCAACGACACACTGTCTTCCGATAATCTCGAGCACTCGCCAACCTTTTTCTTCTTCGCAACAGCAACCATGTTCAAGCGCTCGTTCAGGTCGCAAGACCCCAGCCGAGTCGACAAGGCTGCGCGGCTCAAGAAGAACAACTCAGTCCGGGATCCCCAGAAGCTGTCGAGACTGCAACGGTCGCTCACCGAGGAGACGCAGGCCAAGCCGGCGCCAGCGCCGGCGGTCAAAAGCACCTCTTTGGCCCCCGCCCCCATCGTCACCCTGACGGTCGGGCGCGAGGGGCGACTATTTGCAGCGCACGAGGACGTGCTACGCCAAGCGCCGTTTTTCGAATCGGCGTGCCGCGACAGCCACTTTTTCGATGCGCAGAGCAAGAGAATATCCCTTCCCGACGAAGAACCCGAGGTCTTCTCCGCCGTTCTCGAGTACCTCTACAAGGGTGACTACTACCCACGCCTCAGGCACAACAAGCACCGCAACTCTTGGGAGCTCGAGAACACCGTACGGGGAACACCGCAGACCTCGCCCTACGTCGACACATTTACCCCCGGAGGCGGCCGCGCCGCCGCCAGTCCCGCTTCGGCGGCAAGCCCCGCCATGGGGCCACAATCCGATGCCACCGTCTACGTGGCAGCGTACGGGCAGCACCTCCTCCGTGACACGGCCGTTTACTGTTCTGCGGAGCGGTACGGGCTCGAGGAGCTCAAGAGGCTGGCCCTGCGCAAGCAAGGTCTCCAGTCCGGCATCGATGTCGGCACAATCTTGCGCTCCGCCCAGTACGCCTACGCCCACACGCCCGACTCGGACTCGCGACTGCGCGCTCACTACCTCGCCCTGATCATCCGGTGTCGCAAGACATTCAAGAGGAGCGGGACCATGCAGGCCGAGATGGAGCGCGGCGGCAGCAAACTCTTTTTCGACCTATTCGTCGCCATGTGCAACCACCTGGACGACGTCATTGACGTGAGCAACGCCCGCTCGCCCAAGACTGTCTGAGTGTGTTCTCTGCTACGTGTGTGTTTTCTGTGTTTTTCGAGCCATGCTTCGGACAGTCCCTAAATTGTGATACCCCGGGACGTAAAGCGGAATGGTGGCAGGTGTTTTTGGCGTTCTTCCTTCTGTGGCCCCCATGTCAGATTGGCGATCCATTCGGGGGCCGTCCATTGTTCTGACACATGGGAGCGAGGGACCTAGACACGAAGCCTCCCTGTTCCTGTTTCGTGGGTGCTCATTTTTGGGGGGCGTTTGAATTTGGGGCAGTGGCTTGCCTTACCATGGAGTACTGCCTCCTCAGGGCTGCCTCCCAGGTGAGGAACACGACTACGAATGGGTTTGCTGCTGCATGCCGAACACGGCAATCAACCACAAAAAGGACCAAAAAAAAACGGAACTGACAAATTGCCACTCACTTGCCGTCGTTCGGGCATACACGGATGAACGACTCATCCCAACTCTCTCCATTCTCCTGAAGCAGCAAGGGGCGGGCGCTTGGACGAACCCCCCGCTGCGGACAGAAACCCGGCATCTCTCAAGATAGCAGACTGACATGTTTTCTTTTGTTCTTCACGGAAAGAGATGTCGGGCACTCGGCCTGTACTTGGCACACCCGCTTTGCGATACAGCAGCGGTCTCCTTTGTCACAATTGGAGGAGATGATGATTTTGGGCGCCACGCGGCTCCCTAGTGGAACGCTGACGCCCCGGCTGGCTTGAGCCCTCGTCAGGGCGAGATAATGAGAAATTCGGCCGCCTCACTTGATGTTGTTCGTGATGTGTCATGATTTTTGTGATCCAACTACTGTCTGTCTCCTCCGGCTACTCCCACTGGGCATCAAACCCGGAAAACTCCACCTCCAGCTTGCCGTCCGTCTTCTCGGCGGGCCGCGCGGCGAAAGCGGCAACCTCGAGGTCCCAGTCGGCTCCGTCGGCAAAGAACCAGCCGACCTCGCGCAGAGCCACGCGCTCCTTGCCTCTCGGCGGTGCGTAGTAGATCCAGATGCTCGTGCCGTGCTCGCTCTCGGCCCTTTCGACGACGAAATCCAGGGGGCCGTCTGTGGGTCCGACGGCCGACAGCGGCGTGATGCTCCAGTCGGCGTAACGATCGCACGCGACGGTGCTCAGCTGCGGGGTGCCGTTGTAGTACTCGAGGCCCGTCTTGACCCATCTCCTCTGTTTCTTGTCCGAGGCGTTGCGCGGCTCGAGCGTGAAGAGGATGCCGGCCTGGTCGTACTGCTCGGTCCACTTGGCGCTGAACGTCAGGCGCGCCGAGCGGAAGGACGTCAGCGGCTTTTTGGGGAGGGCGTGCGTGGGGACTGCTCGTCAGTAGGGTTCGAGGCGGCATCCAACAATGTGCTTACCATTGTAGACGTCCCAGGATGGGTGTTTCTTCCAGACATCCGTGCCGGGGCCGGCCTCGAGTTTGAAGGACATGGTAGCGAGGTTGAATTTGGGGTGTCGAGGGTGTAACTTCAGGGAGGATGGGCGGGTTGAATCTGATCACGTCGGACGGATGAGGTTGACTCGGCCCAGAGTTGACTCGGCCCAGGACCGCCGACTTATATGCTGTGAGCCCACCCCGTGACACCACGGCGTGCGCCCGAGCACCAGGGCGTACGGTGCCCCGCATGAGGGGAACGCGTTACTCGATGCCCCGCATGAGAGGTACTAGATTCGCGATGGGCGATCGCCCCGACTCCGACGCCATGACAGCCAGCGGCATCCGGCCCAGGGAACCGTCAGCCGTTGATGGCACTGAGGGGGGCGGTGATACCGCTTTGGGCGGTCGGGCGTTGGCGGTTGAGCGGAGCTGCCCTGATGAGCAAGGCTTCTCGATGGAAATCACTGTAATTCGGTAATCCGTGTTTAGGATGATGATGAATTGGATTGATCGTTATTGTGGAATGTTTGTGTCAATTGTCAGCAGGCAGCAACAAAGTGCAGCGTGGTTCATCCCATCCGGGCTCGAACGCGATGCCTCCACCATGGCTGACTCATCCCCGTCGTGGATGCTCGCGCTTGCCCTCTCGACCAAAATTTCGTCGCCCACCCCGCTGCGAAAATTCCACTGCGTCTCCCGCCACACAGAGCTGGCCCACCTCCAACCTCACCTCGACTCAACCTCAACCGTGCGACCTTCAATAGCTGCCTGCTCCATGTCAACATAGGCATTGCTTTCAGCTTGCGCAGACCGAGAATTCTGGTTGCTCTTCGACTATTCAGGATCGTCGGTTCCGGCGAGCGCCCCGCGACTGCCTGCCTAGGAACTCGGAAGAAACGGGGGCGAACGCGGCCAGATTCCTGGATAGGTCGACGCAAACTCATCGGTATACCTCTAATCATTATCCAAGCATCCAAGTAAAAGCCCACGGCGGCACCTCCAACGCCTTAAAAATGGCTCCTCCCGTCAGGAAACCTACCAAACCGTTCCAGCGGCCCCGTGGCCTTGCTGAGACGATGGCTCGCGTGCAGCGCGACGAGGCGGCCCGACTCAAGGCAGCCAAGGATGCCGCCGCCGCCGCCGCAGCGAACAAACGCGCGTCGGCCATGGTGTCCTCGAGCGGGCCCAAGTGTCCCAACAAGCACTGCACGAACCCCAAGGTCGTCGACGGCATCTGTCACGGGTGTGGCCGCATCGCGGAGGAGAGCAACATTGTCGCCGAGGTCCAGTTCGGCGAGACGTCCTCCGGTGCTGCCATGGTGCAGGGTAGCTACATCTCGGCCGACCAGGGCGGTGCGCGGACGTTTGGCCCCGGAGGACGCGGTGCCGGCTCGAGCCAGCGCGACAAGACCATCATTGACGCCAAGAACCTCATCCACGGCTACGTCTGGCGTCTTGCTGGCAATCCCCGCCCGCACATTGTCGACAAGGCCGTCGCCACGTTCAAGCTCGCCATGGGCCAGGGCTTCACCCAGGGCCGCACCCTTCAGATGGTCTGCGCCGCCTGCATCTACTACGCCTTTCGGTCGCAGGAGCGGGTCGAGGGCAACGAGCGCGAGACGCAATTTGTCATGATGCTCGATCTCGCCGACCTGACGCGGCTCAACGTCTTTCGTCTCGGCCGCTGCTTCAAGGCGCTCGTCAACAAGGTGCCCATTGGCAGTCTCGCCTGCACCATTTTTCCCGAAGACATCATCCACCGGCTGGCGACCAAGCTCGACTTTGGACCGCAGACCGACAAGGTCGCCGAGGATGCTGTTCGCCTCATCACGTCGATGCGCAGGGACTGGATCATCATGGGTCGCCGACCGTCAGGTATCTGCGGTGCCTGCCTCTTGATGGCCGCGCGCATGAACAACTTCCGCCGCACCATGCGCGAGGTCGTCTACATTGTCAAGGTTACGAGCCACACGATTCAGGAGCGCATGAAGGAGTTCAACGAGACGGCGGCCAGTCAACTGACTATTGACGACTTTCTCACCAAGGACTGGGAGAGCGCGGGACCCCCTTCGCACGACCCGCCTTCCTTCTACCGGCACTCGGAAGAGTACAAGAAGAAAATTGAGGAGAAGCGACGCAAGCGCAAGCGCACCACCGGCGACGACGGTTCATACCGCGACGGCAGCGTACTCGAATCTCCAGCACCACCGCCGATCCGAACGGGGCCCGACCTGTCATCGGTGCCGTGCCCGAGCGCCTCCTACCTCCGCGACAAGGACGGCTATCTCATCCCGCCCGTACCGCCGCCCGAGCCGACGTCGGCTGAAGACAGGGTCCTCAACGGGCAGCTCGACGGCGAGGACGAGAGCAACTTCCCGGCACTCGTGGATGCCTTCGGCGACGACAAGAGCAAGGCTCGCGGTGTTGCCGCAAACGCCAAAGGCCGGCCGCCCAAACACCCGCTGCCGATCAACGAGGAGTGGGTGGACGACGAGGAGAATATGGAGGAGCAAATCTCGGAAATCATGAACGACCCCGAGACGATGCAGCACGCCGCAGCCTACGCCAGCGCCGAGCAGCGCGCACGTCTCCACGCCGACTGGGCGCTGCAGTACGAGCCCAGCAAGGCCGTCTCAATGGCGCCCGAGGTCCTCGAGGACGAGTTTGCCGACGACGTCGAGGTCATGAACGCGCTGCTGTCGCCCGAGGAGGTCAAGCTCAAGGAGATAGTGTGGGTCAACGAGAACCAGGACTGGCTGCGCAAGAACCAGCAGCGCGAGTTTGACAGGAAGCTCGAGGCCGGCAAGCCCAAGCGGCCCCGCAAGCGCAACAAGCCGCGTCTCGGCGAGGCCCAGACGTCGCCCGCCAGCACCCCGATCGAGGCTGCCCAGAACGTCATGAAGCACCACGGCATGTCGAAGCGTCTCAATTACGATGCCATTTCTAGTCTCCTCAACAGCGGGCCAGGCGGCGGGCCCGGCACGGCCACGGGCACGGCCAGCGGGCAAACGAGCCAGGCCAACAGCGTGCTTGGTGATGCGTTCCGCGACCGGGAGATCGAGCCAGAGGAGGAGGAGGAGGACGACGACGACGAGGAGGCTGTCGGCGAGGGTGAAGGAGGTGGCGAGGGGGAAGAGTACGGCGAGGAATACGACGAGGACTACAACGAGTACGAGGAGAACTACGACGACGAATACGACCAGCCGGAGGATGACGAGTAACAAAAACAGGTCGTGTATTGCCCCGCTGGATGTGCTCGCTAGACGGACGCGGCGTTACGTGGGATTGTACGGTAGATACCCGGGCTTGCAAATGCCCCTCATCCAGGCTTCGGCCTGGTTAGCTGACTTATTTTGATCCTTTTCCCATGCTCCCTTGTTGCTGAACGCTATCCCATCCTCTCGCGGAACCACTTGAGTGTCTCGAGCCCTGTCTGCACCCGCATGCCCAGACGCGCATCAAAGACAAAGGCCTCCCACGCAATGACGGCATCGAGATGTTCCTGGCACTCCTTGACCTTGGCGGTCCGACGCGCCCTCTCTTCGGCCTCCGCGGCAGCCGCATCACCCTGGCAGGCTTCGAGCCACGCGATGACGGCGAGTTCATAGTGTGCCCCAGGCAGCGCATAGTCGTCTTTGAGGGGTCCCTTGACGAGGTTCCTTTACCGGTCAGTAAACATTCGACAAGAAGCACAACACAACATACCGGTCCTGTGATAGGGCATCCGCCTTGAGCAGCGCCCTCGCCTCGTCAAGCTGGCCTAGAGATCGCAGCGCCCCAGCGAGCGTCACGGCGCGCACGGCGACTTCATCCGGCGTCTCTTTCAACTTGGCAAGCCCAGCCTCGCCCACGGTGCACCTCTCCCAAGCAAGGCCTCCCACGGCCTGCCGCAGCTCCTCGTCGTTCATCCTCTTCATACCGCACCACAGCGCGGCCATTTCCCAAGCGGGACTGCTGGCAGCGGCGTCGGCGAGATCGACACCCATCTCCTTGGCGCGCTCTTCCATCTTGGCGACTTTGCGCTGGACAAAAACGTCAAACGGCAGCGGCTTGGCCATGAACTTCTTGCGGCCGGCCACCGAGGGGGCCTTGCGCCACAGCTCCTCCGTCTTCTTCTTGCGACGGCGGATCTCATGCTCGTCGCTTCCTTCATGGACAGCGTCACGGTATCTCTCGAGCTCGGCGCATCCGGCAATGTAATAGTAGAGGCAGTGGCTCCAGTCGTTGAGCTCGAGGCACCGCAGAAAGGTGTCGCGCGTGAGCACCCAGTCACCGGCAAACAGGGCGGTGAGGCCCATCTCAAAGGCGTTCAACGCAGCGACTTGGCGCATCTTGGCCTCCTCTCCCGTCGATAGCACCTCGAGGGCCTCGCGCAAACGGCGATCTTGCGAGAGCCCGCGCGCCTCTTCCAGCCGCCACAGTCTAGACTCGGGATAGCGGATGCGCATGTCGGCGAGCAACTCGGCACACCTCTCGCGGGGAATCCCAATGACGTCCTTTTCGCGGCCATCGCTCTTGCCCTTGAAAAACGCCCCGTCAGAGGCTGAAGGCAGGATATCGGCTTGTCCAAGGAGGCCGTTGTAGTAGCCAAGCAGCACAAGGCCCGAGACAGCGCCATTGACGTTGCGGAAGCGGGTGGCGCTCCAAAGCATACGCACGCCACGAGCACGGTCGCCACGGAAGCCAATTATGGAAAGCAGACGGGACATTGCCGGGGGTACCATGCTGAGAATGATGAGGAGCAGGCCAAAGCACATGCTGGCGCCCGAGTGGATGAAAATGTCGAGAGGATTCGTCAGGAGGGCAGCGTCGCCGGCGTCCGGGGTGGTCGTCTGCGGTTTGTCGTCCCGAGGAAGCTTTCCAAAAGGCTCGTCATGCAAGGGCCTGTTCAGAGGCTTCGTGACCGGGGCTTGTGTCTTGCCATCCTGCACTTGGAGCTTCTGCAAGTCCTTCTCGAGGTCCGCCGGCGTCTGCGCACCAGACTGCCCCGGCGTCTCCTTGGCGTCGACAAACTCGTCACTGTCGTCGGCAGCAGCGCCCAGAACGACAAACTCATCATCGTCAAAGCTGCCGGGCATGTGCTCGTTGGTGGCCGTCTTCTCCAGAGGAGGCACTTGGCGCGTTGAAGTCCCCAGAACCTTGTCCTCGGCCTGAATGATGGCGTCGAGACTGACGTAGGCCTTCCTCAGCTTGTAGAAGCCTTTGAGGCCTTCCGTCAGGCTCTCGTGCAGCACGGACACGACGGCCGACATGAGCTGGCTCTGCGCGACGACGAGCGAGTACTCTGTCCCGGGCGGGTAGACGGTGCTGTGCTTCTCAGCCTTGCGCTGGGCCGTCTTCATGTCGCTCCAGGCGCGCGTCTCGCACTCGGCGAGGGTCGAGGACGCCTCGGCCATGACGTCCTTTTCAAAGCCGAGCACCGATCGCATGAAGCGCGTGACGCCGAGACCGAGCAGGTGAAATACCGAGTCATTCCTACCGAGAGCCTTGACGGCACCGTCAATGTCATCGTTCATCATGAGGCCTGCCGCGGCGAGAGCATCCTCCATGATGAGCATCTTGTCCGTCGCACGAAACATCTTCTCGACATCCTGGTCTGTGCCAGGGTTTGAGGCGCCATCGGGGGTGCTGTTTGGTGTTACAGTGCCCGAGGGCCGGAACCACGAGGTCAGCCTGCTCATGGCGGTTGGTGGCGTGCCTAGGGGCTGTGAGAGCAAAGAAAAGCGTAAAAAGGAACCGGAAGGCGTGATCCACGCCAGCGAGAGGCTTCAAATGGCATCCGATACAGTCGAGGATTGAGCAGTTGGTGATGAGAGACTAAGTACTGTCTGGTGGCTGCCTTTCGAGCGGACAATGCCTAGCCTGGTCGATTTGAGGCTGAATGCTGACGTAGATGACGACGACCCTCCCAAGGCAGGCCAATGATGAGTGCTGCAACGCCGCCCGACCAGGAAAAAGACACGGCGATAAGATTTTCAATGCCTCCAGTAAATAAATGCCTCGATGTGTGGGATGACGGGAGAAGAACGAGGTGTGGACAGACAAAGGTTGGGACGTCGTCGAGCGTGCTTACTGAAGTTACGTACCTACCTAGGTACCTTCAGCTAAGGTACGGCTAAGTCAGTCTTGACGTACCTAGGTACCTAGGTACCTAGGTAGATAAGGTAGGCAGGCGTAGGCGGGCACGCAGGCGTCCTCGGAGAACTCCCACCGCGAAACCCACATGGGAGGCGCAGCAGCGACCGGACAATAAGCAGTGCTGTACCTGACTGCCAGTCGGGTCTCTCTTGCCGTCCGGGTCGTCGCGTGCTGCTGGTGGGTTGCCTGCATTGTCCGATGCTAACTCCGGGGCGCGGCTCCGGCCTTTCCGGGTGGACAAACGAAAGCGAGCTTGTTGCAGATCCCAGACAAGAAGAGGCGAAACAGCGGCCACGGCAAACCTCATGTCATTTGAATGCTACCCGTTGCGTATTTATCGGCCGTGACCCTGTGACACCTGACCATGACCTGAAATGACAAAAGAAACAAGATGCATCCTTTCCCGCCCCCCGTTCCCTCCTCCGGGCTTAAATGCAACACCAAAACACCATGCCATCCTATGCAAACGAGTCGTCTCTATGCCTTTTTTGTTCATTACATGTCTTGTTCCACTCGGCAAAGCAAGCCTATGCTCTTGCGTCCCGCTTGGGTCGCGCCCAAAAAGCGTATTCTTGCGTCGCACCTTTGCTTCGCCGTCCGTGACGTGGCCCGCCAGCTTGTTCCGGTCAAGCTGTGTCTTGTCCCGCCTCTCCTGTCGCAACGCGTCAATGGTGTCCTGGTTGAGATGTCCAAAGGCGTTGCGTCGCTTGTAGCAAGATTCCATAAGTGCGTTGGCGTCAATGAGCCGTCGCGGCATCGCCTGCACCACAGAAAACATTTCCATCGGATCGGCAACGGCCTTGATCTCCGCCTCGCCGAGCTTGAAAATGGTCAAAGCCACGCGAAAGAGCGTCTTGGAGCTCTCGAGAAAGAAGACATCCCACACCCGCAGCGTCGTCTCGATCGGTAGCGTCCCGATAAAGCAGCTCATGAACCATGCCGTCATGCACAGCGTGATGGGCGGCAGCCTGTCTGTCGAGACGGACTTGTTGGCCATGTGCTTGCGCCTCGACCTGGCCTTCTTCGCGGCTGAACCTCCGCTCGTCGTCGGCCGCGACTCGTTGGGGTCGCCGTCCAACTCATCACCAATCTTGGCCCAGACCGCCGGCATTGACTCGCGGATGGCGCCCATGAGCACGCCGAGATCCACCTTGGAGCCCTCGAGGCTCATTGCATGCGTGCCGGGAAGGTATACCCGCGTGATGACGTTCAACAGCCAGAAGGCTTGCTCCTCCGTCTCGAGAAATAGCAGCAGCAAGCCGGCCAAAAAGTTGAGGCTCTGGCAGTATCCGATGAGAGGGTTCTGGATGGCAAAAGCGCGGAGGACCCGCCGCAGAGAGGAAATCATGCGCGGCTCGCCGTCCTCGCCGCCACTCGAAGCCGTTTCTGATGTTGTCTGGTTGCTGCTCCGCGATGAGTCCGTGTTGGTCGAGAGATTGTTGGGCTTAAACTTGATATTGTCGGGAAAAGTGCGGTGGAGATCACGCTCGATGGCCTCGGCATCGACAGCGCTGACCTGCTTCGTGAGAAGCTCGTCATAGACGCCAGAATACTCTGCCAAGATGGCAGGCCCCCCGGCGTAATAGAACCAGGCGGCGCCTCGCCAGTCGGGCGGGATACCCTTGCGGACAAATCGTTTGGTCTTGGTGCTCGCGGGTGGAGGGAACCGGTCGGGTTTGTCCGTCAGGAGACCCATCTCCTTGTGATAGGCAACCCACTTCTTCCGTCGGCGGGCGAGGTACTCGACGTAGCCCGTGTTCCACGTGTCATACTGTTCTCGCGTGACGTACTGGTTGGCTTTGCGAAAGCCATATCTGTCTCTGGACTCGGGATCTTCATGTTCGATCGGGGGCGGGCCCTGCCGTGAGGGCGGCGACTCGTGAAGGGATTTGGCCGAGTCCCGCTTCTCGTTCTCGTGTCGCTTGTTAAAGTCCCCAAATGTCGATGATTTGGGCAGAGCAAGCGGCGGCTCCTCGCCGCGGAACATCTCGGTCGATTCCCGGACCAGCGGGCCCATGCCGAGACCCGATGTCGGGGGCGCGGGCAACGACTTCTCGAGAGCCTCGAGGATGCGTGTGTTCCTCCTGTTCATGGCGCCGTCGTTTCTCTTATCATGAAAATGCAGATCGTCAAAGTCTTCTGGGCTCGAGTCGTCGTGAAAACCCTTTTCGTACATGCCCATGACGTCCTCGAGGCTGGGCTCGTCAGGGCCTGCGTACACGGACGGTACAGAGCTATCTCGTGTCAGGATGCTGCTCCTCTCGGTCATCCAGGTGCCCTGGGCGCTTGATGCTGTCAATTGGGATCTGTAACTTGATCTTGACTCGTCGGCGCTGATCCACGGGGCCATGTCGCGGGTATAGCCGGATCCCGCGCTGTCGATGCGGTTTTGGGTAAAGGATGGAGCGGGCCTCACTGCCGCCGGGGCCGTCGTGGCATGCCGCAGTCTCGAGCGGCCGGGGTCGTAGATGTCGCTGCCAGGAGGTAGGGGAACGGACGAAAAGGTGGACGAGGTTTTTGTGGAGGCGTTGGACTGGCCTCTGGAACGCCCGTCGCGGGGAGAGGCGAGGTCGGGCAGAAGGTCGGGTGGAGGGGCGAATGGTGAAGGGAAAAGCGTTTGTCGGGGTTTGGCCGAGTCGAGGGTTGGTTGTTTGAGACTGAGTTTCCTCGGACGAGAAAAGTTCTGGCTCTGCACGGTGTCTGTCGAGATCCGTGGCTCGGGCTCAGAGATTGGAGAAACTAGCGGTTGGTGTGAAAAGTCATTGGTTGGCGTGTGGCGGCCGGACTCGAGCCGTTCGGCAAGGGAATCGGAAGGAGGGGGGTCTGGTGGTGACACGGCGAGAGCAGTGTTTGATTTTTGCAGGAAAAAACTGGTATTGTTGTTGGCGAGTGAGTCCCACCTGGGGGAGATCGGAAGGGGAGGCAGCTGGGGAGCTTCGTCCGGCGAGGGGTGCTCAGATTCGTACTTGTCAGAGGTTGGTGGATTGGGTTTCGGGTTGTGGTGGGCGCCGGGGCTCGGACTGTGAGCTCGAGCAGCATAGATATTGAATTGGCGGTTCTTGACGCTCTTCTGGCGTTCGACAGAAGGGTCCATGTCGCCGTCGGTGGCGATGCCGTGGTCGCGGTGTTGATCGTGGTGGTCGAACTCGCGAGAATCCGCTGCCACAGCCGTGGGAGTCATGACGGACGGACCCAGGCGTTGATATGGCAGCGGCGGACGCGAAAGACTGAGAGAGAGGAGGGTGGAGGGGGAGCTGGGTCTCTCTTAGGAATGCACGGCCGGGGGGAGGGCTCGGACGCGTCGATGGGGTTGTATGATTTCTTTTTGGGCTCGTCGTGGTGTTGACGGGCTCGCCTGTTGGGGTATGAAACCAGAATGATCGCCGCGGGACGTGGGACCGGGGGTGGGACGATGGGGTGGGCGCGGAACAGAGTCAGTTACATCTGGCTCATACAGGCGGCAGCGAAACAGGTGTGGTTGTCAGGAACGTGTGCAGCATGGCGGCACATGTAGCAAGTCGTCCAAGCGGACATTGACACAGAGAGATCTCTCTGCTGTGGGGTGTGGTCGATACTCTGGCGCAGGCGAGTCTGCCTCGGTTGGTGATTGCGGCGTTTCCCTTGCAGATTGGTACGGTGCACAATGTGGGCTCAGGCGAGGCTAGATCGGTCACAGCATCCGGCGCAACACAATAAGAGCTCGGTGTCGTGATTCCCCCGAGGCGAGAGGGAATTCGAAGGGCTCGATCGAAGCAGGAGACCAACAGACAGACGGGCCAGGTCGCTCGAAAAGAGAGAAGAAAACAAGGTGGTGTCCGAAAAGAAAATGGATGTTGATGGTGGTGGCCCTCGTTGAAACGGCGCGGCACGAATCGAGAGTCAGGTCGCTGCGTGTCTGAGAAGCAAAAGTGCGTCAAGCGGCGGCCAGTGGAGGTTGGAGGTCGGCCAGCACTGGCTAAGAAGGTTAGGCTCTCGACGGATGTCTGAGCTCGAAGCCTCTGCCACGACGGTGATCAGTGTGGTAGGTGGACAAGGTCAGTTTCTGGGCTCGTGCGTGTCTGATAGCTGAGGTTGATAAATCGTGTGGCGAAGGAGACGGTGTCATTAGATGCAGCGATCGAGCTGAAGAGGAAAAAGTTATAGACGAAAAGGAAGTACTGGAATGGCGAGTGAGTCGCGATTGCGTTTTGTTTGAGGGAATGGACGGAGAGGTGCGGGTGGAAACAAGAACGGCAGCAGGTCGTTGGACTGATGAGAAAAGGATGGGAACATGGGCACATGGGAAGCAATGATGTCGCTGCCCGCCCCAGACCCTCTTACTAGTACTGTGCCTGCCTGTCAGATCGTGCCCGTCCTTGCTTCCTTCCTGCTCATGGGAGATGAGTATCGAATGGAAATTTCATCACTCCCGGCGGGTGCACCTGGCCAGCTGGCCCCGGTCAGGTTCCTCCCCCCTTCTTCCTTCCTTTTGTCACAGATCATTCCATCCAGGCATATGCCCCTGCAGCGTAACTCGACCCCTACAAGCCCTAGTCCACGGTTAGGTGGGGTGCCCTGTGGAGATTGCACCGCCTGCGCTTCCATCTCCAGTGCTTGGTGCCCTGGAGCCTCCTGGTGGCGCGCCCCAAGGGCAGCCTGAAGCCAGCCACAAGGGCATATTCTCACAGGTCACACGGAGGCTCTCTCACACCCGTCGTGAAGAGCCCACAGGTGGCTCGGGCCCCGGCCGCTTTCCGCGCCGCTGGCACCGCCAAGGGGGGCCGCCCCATTGAAGGCGGTTTGGTGCCTGAACCATGCCCATTTAGGGATGGTTCCCTTATTGCTGGCACCCGGGTCGCAATCTCGTCTTGTGTGGCAGCGGTTCACGGGCTGGTGACCGAGCGGGCGAATGTTAAAGTCTTTCTCGCATGAGACGGAAATCTACCAGACTCCAGTCTATGGGGCCAGCCGTGTGCCTTGGTATTGATTTGTTTCCGGGAGATCGCGACAGTTGTTTTGTTTACTGAGGAGGGCGCCTTCCTTTGCGGTGGGTTTCGCCCGGCGCTCTCCCAGCTGCCTGTTTCCTGTTTCCCTGTTCCCCTCGGTACCTACCTACCTAGGTACAGTAACTCGTAGTACAATCCGCCAATGCAGGCTCTCCCGAGGTGCATGCATGCTTCCTTCCTCGTACCCCTCCCCCCTTGCTCCCCGAACGCCCAACGCCCGACAAAGATGCAGAGAGAGAAGGAGCCAAGGCCGATGCCGCAACTTGGACCTCGCTGTTGGGCACTGCAACGACTCGTCGTCCATGTTTTCCAAACCCCAAATGCTACCCAGCAACCAAGGGACGAGCTCAACCTCTCTATCCGACAATGCTCGCGAGTCAACTCTGATGAGGTCCGCCCACCCTGGCCTGTCCACGAAATGCTACCCCAACCAGGAAGGGATCGATGGCCGGCCGGTTAACGGGATGCCACCTCCGCCAGTCTGCCTGACGTGTCACATCATCTGGCCCGGCAGATTCTCCAGCGCGTTGGCACGACTGAAATCAAAAGGGTTCATGACGTGCGGTCGCCTCGCATCAGTTGTTTCAGCTTTAGGTGTTGATGATGATCTCAACCAGAAAAAAAAGTGTTGCCCTGTGTGTGGCAGCTGTCATGCACGAGGTCCATCGATATCATCGAGGCATCCCCAGGCTTCCCAATTGCATTCCACGCCGCCGCGCTATTGCAACTAGCCTGCGGGCACCAACCTTGACACCCTGTGCCCTGCGTCGACCGCCAGCGACCACCTCCTTGCATCACAGGCTCGCGCGACTGGGCTTTCCTGGCAGCACAAGTGCTCCGAACGGCGACGTGTCACGTGTATGCGAGCAATTCGGGGTCAGCATCGAGACGTGACCCTCGGTCTAGGCAGCGTGGTCTGCGGAGACAGCCGTGACGCATAGTAGTGCGATTATGAAAAGGCCCCGTTCATCCTGCCACTCGACACCTCATCTCACGATCAAAACAAACCTGTCTCACGGCCCCCCTCCGGATATTCGAGCGCCTTTGTTCGAAAGCCCCTCCATCAGGCCACCTAGCCAGGGAGGCCCCCCGGAAATTCGCATCTTCTCTGCGGCCACTCCGAAAAGCAGGCCAGGGTCAGAAAGCCTAACTTACACAAGCGTCATTCCATCGACGGTTCAGTCGCCAAAGCTTGGACTCCCCGACTCGATCAGTCAGCCATCCGCATGGGGAATATCCGGATAACAGCCAGTTCACGTGACTAGCGATCGAATCGACGCAAGAATGACGAAAGACGAAAACGGACGCGGGAGCCCAGGCGGGTCATTGCCACGGGCCTTGATGACGTTGCCCAAGTCTCCAGGCTGCTCTTCCTGCCGCTCGCCAGACCAGCGTAAGTACCAACTTGGTTTGGCCTGTAGCGTGCTGATCGGCAGCCAGAGTGAGAAGCCCTTCTGCTGCACACCAATGTCGCAGGTCATGGGCGCAGACTGTGGGCGCACGCCGCAGGCGCACCTCGAACCGAACTGGATGGCGGCCATTGGTTTTCAAGGTTCGAGAATCAACGGGAAATGGACCGACTGGTGGCTCTGGAAGACAACAGAAGCCACTATGGCCGCCATGAGAACGTCGCCTGGCGCCCACCAGGACCTACCAAGTACGCTTTCTCTGTGCAAGACACAGTCGCTCGTGGCCTGGGCAGGGATGGTGACGGTGTGTAGTGGAGGACCGAGCTCCTTGGTCTGACCAACCAGATCGGCCAATCCTGTCACTCCTCCTCGGGCCCTTGCTCCAGCTTTGTCCGTCTGCCCAGATCGATTCCACCAAGCCATCGCGCGAGAGGGAGAGGGGGGGAGCTCGCTCGAAGCTCCAAGCCGACTGAGGTCCCACCTCCCTC